ATTCATACCGAAATGCGCTTTACTCATGAAACCTCTTACCGACCAACGTCGTGGATATGCGAAACCCATTAATTTGGACGACACCGCACGAAAGCATTCTCCACAGTTAAAAAACTGATTGCTAAAGCAACAATGCTCGCACATCAGGACACCGAAGCACCCATTAGTATCGCAGTAGACGCATCGGACTCGGCAATCGGAGGCGTCTTACAACAATGGGTTAACAACTCCTGGCCAGCCTTGGCTTTTTCTCTAGAAGGTTGCTAGACACCGAATCGAGGTACAGCACATTCGGTAGGGAACTCCTAGCTATGTATTGTGCTGTACGGCATCTCCAACACTATATCGAAGGCCGTGAATTCACTCTTTTCACGGACCATAAACCGCTCACTTTCTCGTTAAGCTCTCCTTCAGACAAGTACTCTCCCCGTGAGTCTCGACAACTGGACTACATTTCGCAGTTTACTTCAGATATTCAACACATCTCTGGAGCAAACAATGTAGTTGCAGACGCCTTATCTCGCATAACTTCCTTGAACAGTTTCCAAGGAATCGATCTTCTTAAACTCGCCAAGCTTCAAAAAGAAGACAGTGATCTTCAGCACGAGTTATCGCCTACAACTCTCAAGGTATGCATCAAACAGATGGGAATAGGTAACGAAACCTTACTTTGTGACACATCTACAGGTAGGGATCGCCCAATCGTGCCGAAACATTATCGACGCAATGTCTTCAACACATTGCACAAACTTTCGCATCCAGGTGTTCGTGCAACCATCAAGCTTATAGCAGAACGGTTTTGCTGGCCTGGCATGAATAAAGACGTGAGGGAGTGGGCACGCTCCTGTGTAAGCTGCCAAAAATCTAAGGTTATCAGACACAATAAATGTCCCTTAGGCTCATTTAAAACTCCCAATGCTCGTTTCGACCATGTTCATCTGGATTTGGTAGGACCTTTACCAGATTCAAATGGATACTCTTATCTCTTAACCTGCGTAGACCGTGTGGGAATTTTAGAACTAGTGCGTCAGATACATAGCAATTAAGTAATCTCCGAGAATGATCGTTGCGCAACGATTGCTGTGCTCCAGCAGTTTAGTTCTGTGTTTGAAGGTATTTCCGGAAATAGAAAAACTACATTACAATACCCTATCTCCACAGGTGACCATATGCCACTTCGACAGCCACATCTCAAGAGACCAGTGGACTACCAAATACAACTAGATGCACTGATAAAACATAGGTTGGACAATAATATCATGGTTCTGTAGTAAAATACTCTCACCAAGAGAACGCAATTGGTGTAATGAAAAATTATTATCATAACTAATTATACCAGGGATTGTTTTACCGTACTCGTTTGTTTAACTGTACCAAAATGTGCATGTTTTTCCTTTGTGACCTTGCGCGGGTTCGGTTAAGCTCAGCAACCTGGCTCGATCTCGGTAATCTTTTGATACCACGAGGTCGCCAACAAATACAACTCGAATACAGCCATCAACTGCCTTCTGATATTTGACTTACGGGGATATTATCGGTTAACTGGCACGTAGTCATCCTGTAGTGCTGATCATAGTCAACCGCAACTCGACACCACACTACAACTGGTGAACCAAATCTAAGAATAAGTCTCAACCTCTGGTCAAATCTCCCAAAGAAGCCGATTGCGGTGAGTCTATTACTTATCTATCCACGTCTGTTGCACATTGCCCTATTGATATTTTTCAATATATAATATTCCGGTAACAACTTGAGATAACGGATAACGATAAGAATAGTATTAATATAATAGACTCCGATGTACGCGTACTGAATCTTATGTATCTTTCATCCGACGATATGTTCCACGCTTTATTCGAGAAATTTCCCCAAATATCTATTCTCACTGACCCGGCTGCTTGGTACGGAACGCATACTCACTAGCGCTTATCACCCAGCATCAAATGGTTTAGTTGAACGATTTAGTCGCCAACTTAAAAGTGCTCTTCGGGCACACGAAAACAACAGTTGGTACGAAACCTTACCGCTCGTCATCTTAGGTATCAGAACGAACTTAAAGGCAGATACTCAGTGTTCGCCATTGAACTTGTATACGGCATGACATTGCGTCTGCCTGGGGAATTTTTCACAACACGGAGCAGTAGCGATTTCAGTGAATCAGACTACGTCCGTTGACTGTCAGAATTTATGCGCACACCGGAGGCAGTGTTCGCGAACACTCGAATACAACATCGACAGGTCGCTCTCCCTCGAGAGTTGTATACCTGGGCGAGACTCTAATTTAGCGACGACCTTTGAACGAATCTTAAATGACCTTGACAATTATTAGCCAATCAGAAGACAGTTAGTATAAAGTGAGAATATATTGTAAGTAATGAACTACAGTGGATATTCTTCTTTTACATGATTTAAAAACGTGTTAAGGTTTGATGAAGGTTCAGAGGCTCTCAATTCATAATGCATATTGTATAGAAACTCGTCTATAGGGTTAGTGGTTACGGTTGTAGCCTGTCAATATACATCTCTTCTCTAAAATCCGATGTAAACCGATCGCATGTTAGCACCCTAACCTTAACCTAACCCTAAACCCTAATCTAACCCTAACCTTAGCCCTAAACCCTAATCTAACCCTAACCTTAACCTAACCCTTAACCCCAAACCCTAACCCTATGGACGAGTTTCCATACAATATGCATTATGAATTCAGAACTTCTGAGCCTTTATCAAACCTCAACAAGTTTTTAACTCATGTAAAAGAAGAATATCCACTGTAATTCATTACTTTCTTGTAATATATTTTTACTTTATACTGTCTTCTGATTGGCTAATAATTGAAATTGCCCAAACGCTTCTCATTGGCTCGTCCCTAAATTAGAGTTCCGCCGTCCCATCTGTTTTAACCTCTCATTAATCATCTCCTCTCTAAAATCCGCTGTGAACCGACCGTATGTTAGCATCGCGTGTTGAACTTGGCTCCGTGACCTTGAAATTGCTCAAACGCTTCTGATTGGCTCGTCGCTAAATTAGAGTCTCGCCTATACCTGTTCATACGAGTAAATACAGTACGCAAACCTCTGCAACAGCCTTACGAAGGACCTTTTCGCGTGATTTCTCGTCACGAAAAGACCTTCAAGGTCGATCGACATGGCTGCGTCAAAATCGTCAGCATTGATCGTCTCAAACCAGCACACGTCGATGACAGTGCCCTATATGAATTTCAAGTGATGCCTTTTGGTTTAACAAGTGCTCTAGCTACTTTCCAAAGACTAATGCAAATAGTTTAACAAGACATAGTACCCCACAAATGCTTGACATATATTGACAACATTATTGTGTATGGTAGCACATCCGAACAACACAATACTAATCTGAAAGCAGTTCAGCGCCTTAAACAACACAATTTAAAAGTAAAACCGTCCAAATGTCGCCTGCTGCAGAAAGGAGTAATCTTCCTGGGACATCGTATCACTGCAGATGGGGTAGGCACAGATAAAGAAAAGACACGTGCGATTTTTAATTGGCCGCAACCAAAATCACCCGAAGACGTTCGTAGCTTCCTTGTGCTAGCTTCTTATTACAGACGCTTTGTTCGTGACTTCACATCACTAGCAACACCTTTGCATCGTTTAACACATAGGACGAAAATTTTTATGAACCAGCAAGTGTCAACAGGCGGACACCGAAAAGACATGTATGATCGTCAGGTGCGAGGACCGATGTATACAGTCGGAGATCGCGTCTGGCTACGCCGCAGTAAATTCCACCAGCCCTGGCAAGGTCCTTTCGAAATTGTCCTCATCCGATCCCCCACTAAGTTTGTATTGCGTAACATACAACGACCTAAGGACGACCTGATAACGGTACACTACAACCAAATAAAACCGGATTGAATGACAATGCCCTTCGATGCTCAGTTCGCCGGCCACTAGATTTTATGAAGTACCATCAGAAGGAGAAACAGCATACCCATGCCCAAGACCAGGCACTGAGGACAGTGCCTCATTAGGGAGGGGGCGATGTAACGGGGTTTAAATCATGTATGGTGTTGTTAATAGATTCTGTTGTTCTTTCTATTACAGGGCAGCCAAGAATAAATGCTTTAGAAGAAGAAGAAGAGCAAGCTTTGCGTGCACTGAACCTACAGGATGACTCATAAGACTTCTGTAAACTAGATCTCCCTTCTGTACATAACCCGCGAATTTTCAAATAAACGACTGGTAGTTCCCATTCCGTGTTCTCTCTCTGGTGTGAAGTGCTCGGTTAACATTGTGTGTGTTGTGGTTTTAGGTCTTCCCGCCTTTCAGTGACTGCTGATTACATGTGTTACAATGGTTATCGACCAGTCTGACAGGTTGACCTTGAAGGGATCGGTAACCTACAACAGTGGATGATACCACTGAAGCATTACCTCGACCAATCACATTGTTCATAGTCCCTATGTTTGCGTTGTGATGTGGTATGTTTCATTTATCAAACCGTTTAATGCTGTTGATATACTACGTGATATACAAACGTATACTGCTGTATATCTGAAAAAAGAAATGTTGCTAATAGCATAACTATCTGTTTTTAAATGCTGAATCTAGTTGTTTCGGCCGTAATTGCATACTCTAGCCCTCCTGAGGGCGTATATTTAGGCGAAAAGTAGACAATTTAGGGTAAATATAGGCGAAAAGTAGATAATTCAGCAACATAGATAGGAAAATCCGTGTTATTTCCCCCGGAAAGGCAAAAAAGCAGACATTTTGGCGCGTTTCCTCTTTATTCCCTAACGCATTTTTCCCTTATTTCTCCTTTATTGGTTGTTCGGTCATCGAGTTCTTTGAAATAAACATTCAGATTTGTGTAGTAAAAACAGAAGGCCTATGGCCCATGTTATTCCTTTTCTAGTATGCTTCTGTGTCTCTTAGATGAGTTATTTGGAGATGCAGACACCACTGCTTCGGGTAACAGATCCCAAGAATTGATGACTCGGTGTGAAAACCTGTATGTCACTGGTATTTTGTTCGTTCTTGGCTTTTCTATTCGTTTATTATGTCCTTTGAGTTGTCTCGAACTAGTGAGAAGAATAAGATGACTGCATGGTCACCCCTTCCTAGAGGTGGGCGTAAAGTTACTTGACTGACATCGTCACCATGTTTGAACATTAGATCCAAGAGACGGAAAGCTTCATAAGTCAGGTCCAGTAGATCTCTAATGTGTTGAGATTAGGCTAGGGCAATTGTGGTTTTGAACAATTTGCCATCAAATTATGTTGTTGATGACCTTACTTCTAAGTTTCCCCAGTTACACTGTTTTGATCAAATCATCAACAAACTATTGCTTGCTTTAGGATTTGTAAGAACAAACATCATATATGTGACATTTGTTCTGCAGTCCTTTAGTGAGAAATGGACGCGAACTTGTTTCACCCTTTCTTAATAACCATAATATTACACCAAAACGTGTAACCATCAGATGACGTTCACTTACGTCTACAGCATTCCCAGTCCCATACGAAATTTACGCTTTATCGTTTTACCTCTAATTGGATCATGTTTACCTACAACTTTTCACCGTTTTGTGAATCGTTTTTCAGCTTTATACATTTTGAATAAAATGCAATCAATGAGACGACTGAAGTTCTTTTTGCCATATTGTATCATAACATTGGGGAGTGCGTTTCCTTTTGGATATCACAGTGGAGTGATAAATGCACCTGCTGACGTAAGTTACTGTTTAATAATAAACAGAAAACTTTATTTAGCTGATCAAAAGCTTTATAAATACTACTCTGGTTGCTAGGTCAGTCACATGTAATGAACGTTGCATCGACTTGATATGGTCACTCTGTGTTACATCCTTCCTCCTTGGGGGATTTTTTGGAGGCTTGATTGGTGGCGTTTTGGCTAACAAGTTGGGCCGGTAAGTTGTTTTTATTCTACAGTTTACTGTCAGGAAAAAATCACTATTTCTGCTTTCTATCCCAACTGTAATTGGGTCACTCCTGATGATGTTTTCGAAAATGGCACAATCTTTCGAAATGATTATTGTTGGGAGATTTACAATTGGGATAGCTTGTGGTAATTCTATAATTTATGAAATATTTCAAAAGGCGCTCATACAGTCGTTGGGCCTATGTTTTTGTCAGAAATAGCTCCTGTCAATTTCCGTGGAGCTGCGGGAACTTTCAATCAGTTTGTGCTTGTTTTCGCTATATTGTTGTCACAAGTGCTTGGTCTGCCTGAAGTGATGGGGACAACTGAATTATGGCCATATCTACTTGGTATGATAATAAAAATGCTCATATTTTGAAAGCTTTATGTACCGTTTCCAGTGTCATACATATTTTACTTCTGTCCACTTGTCCTGAAAGTCCTACTTACTTATACATTATTAAAGGTGATCGTCGAAGGTCAGAAAATGGTAATGTACTATATATTTTATCATTCACTTTACATGTATAGCATTGGTTTACCTTCGAGGGCAAGATTGCGATGTACATGCTGAATTAGAACTACTAAAAATGGAGACACAACAGTCATCTACACACAAATCAAATTTTTGCGACCTACTACGTATTCCATACTTGCGATGGGGACTGATTGTAGCTTTGGTACTACATATTGGCCAACAGTTTTCCGGTATAAATGGAGTAAGTAACTTTGAATTCCAGGTGTCACTTTTCCTAACAACCCTTATATTTCCTGAATTGTTTGTTGTCATGTCCACTAGCTTTATAACAAGAAAATAATTCAAAGATTATCCGTTGTTGCTTTTTGATAAGCTTTTTTTTAATTTTACAAACCTCTTTCACTTCTGTGCAATTATGAAAGGTACCTAGGACCGTTATTTTAGTCAAAGGATCTCCGATTCAGTTTCCATTCATTTATTTGTAGCTAATCAAGTTTATCACACTAATGTGGTTTTTAAGTTGTTTTCAACTTTGTTTCTATAATTTTCTAATTCCAGCCATGGTTGTGTGCGTAAACTGAGTTTTCTAACCTTTTATTTAGCCTACGATTATCTTCAACTTTTCACTATCTCGACTTCTTCTATTCGTTAATTTTTTCGTCCTCACTAAGTTGTTCCGTTATACTTCACTTTCTTTATAATATGAATGTTCGAAATTTTTGAAATCCTTACACTTTTCTGTCACTTGTACCTCTTAAATTACTATGTAGTTAGGTCGAAGTTCATGAAATTCATTGCTCAGTAATTGAGAGTCAAGCTACTAAATTACCTAGCTAAAACTTCGAACCTGCAAAATTTCAAGCTTAGAAATATTGGTCAGTCAGTCAGCTACAACGTAGGACCAGGCACATATATGCATCGGTCCAAGTTGCCATACCTCATTAACACAAGATGGACACCGGATTCATAAAAGTAGTTAATTCATAGGTGGTAATATATAAAAGAAAGATTGCAATCAGGATCATAGTACAGGAAGAAAGAATTAGTTCGTAGAAAGAATGACATGAAGCAGACATTTTGGCGCGTTTCCTCTTTATTTTTTAATGCATTTTCCCCTTATTTCTCCTTTATTGGTTGCCCGGGTCATCGAGTTCTTTGAGGGAAGACAGAGAGTGTATACACCGACGCCATTGTGATCAATTCTGAGCCATGTCACCAAGAGTCTCCAACCATCGGTTACGGAAGTCACGCGGACCCCAACCAAGTAGTCTGCATCTACCAACAAGGCTCAGACTAGAGGTTAGTGTCTTCAAGCACTGATGCCACGTTTTGGTTTGGCCACCCCTGATTCTCTTCTAACCATCTCTAACACCCGTTAGCATTGCACGTCGTGGTAATCGGTGTTCAGGCATACGCAACACGTGGCCCAACCATCTCAGTCGATGAAGATTAACAACCTCATCGACTGATTTACCATCATTCCCTAATACCCTGCGTCTAACCTCACTATTACTTACCCGGTGATCCCAACAGATGCGAGCAATATTTCTAAGGCATCTGTGGTCAAATACTAGTAGCCTACGAGTATCTTCGATTCTTAATGGCCATGTTTTGCAGCCGTCATTTAGAACAGAACGAACTACTGCGCAGTACACTCGTCCCTTAATTGACGGACGGATATCTCTCCTTCGCCATAGGTGACGTAAGTTGGCGAAAGCCAAACGAGCTTTTCGAATCCGTGCCGAGATTTCGTCATACACCAACCCATTAAGGCTGATCAGACTTTCAAGATAAGTGATGTTGTCAACCCGTTCAATTACTTCACTCCCTATCCTTAGTTCAGGTGTTGACACAGACCAGTCCTGAAGCAACAACTTGCATTTAGATGGAGAGAAACGCATTCCAAACATTCTGGCATTGTTGCTTAGTGCTACCAAAAGACTCTGCATTTTGTCAGCGTCTTCACCAAACATGACCATGTCATCAGCATATTCTAAGTCGATAAGTGGACCTCCTGGAGGGAGATCAATATCCAAGACTTCCAGTCGACGATAATTCTATTTCCATCAATAGGTCTATGATGAAGTTAAACAAAAATGGAGAAAGTGGACAACCTTGGCAGACACCACTTGAGGTTGCAAAAGCAGATGACAGTTCGCCATAAGCTCTTACTCGACTGGTAGTGTTCGAGTAAAGAGCCTTCACAAGGTTTTTGTACTTCTGAGGTACGCCTTTCAATGACAGACACTGCCACAGAATCTCGCGGTCTACCGAGTCAAATGCTGCTTTTAAGTCAAGAAAGACCACCATTGTCGGACGCCGATAAGTATGCCTATGTTCTAGAACCTGACGAATGGTGAATATGTGGTCGATGCAGCCACAACAAGGTGTGAACCCAGCTTGATTTTGTCGTGTTTGCAGTTCACGAGTCTTAGTTAGGCGTCTGATAATTATTGAGGCTAGTATTTTAGATACTATATTAGTTAAACTAATCCCTCTATGGTTGTCACAGTATGATTTTAACCCTCTCTTATATATCGGGACGATAAGTGATTGTGACCAGTCAGATGGAATGACGTTTAACTCCCAGATCTTAGCTAAAATATCAGTCAACCTAATCGCTAAAATTGGACCACCATCCTTAAAGACCTCTGGAGCCAATCCATCTGGACCAGCTGCCCTTCCTCGTTTCAGATTAACTATTGCCTTTTGCACTTCTGCTAGAGCTGGGGAACCTACTTCAATGTTCCATTCACACTGTGTGAGAATAGAGAGTAGTTGTAAAGTAGCTGAAGGCCAGCTGAAATGTTCCGCCCATCGTTCTAAACGTCTGGACTGGGAGCAGATGAGAGTGTCGTCTTTTTCCGAAATAGTCTGACTTACACTTGACTTATTAATTCCAGTTTCTTTTATTAGTCTTTAGAGCTGTCTTGTATTCCCTATAACCGCCTTCTTCATCATATCTTTTGCTTTCGTTGCCCACCTCTGCTCATGGTCGTTCCTTAGACTTTTGGTTAACCTAGATCTGATTTGTTTTCGCTCTTCATCGTGTTCAGAGCCTGATGGGATGAGTTTACGAGAATCCATCAGTGAAATAGACTTGAAAAAAATCCATTGATGTTTTGTAACCCTGTGGTTCAAATCACTAATAGATGCCACTGCTGTTTTCACAGCTGCTTGTATATCTTTCCAAGCAACATCTGGGTCAACCTCGTTTTCAGAACTACCGAAGGGTGACCTCAGTTGTTCCTGGAACCTACTTTCGGTTTTCTCGCTACTCAATTCAGTTCTGATGGGTCTTTTTAGTGTGACTTTTGCGTCCAATGAGGCGCAAGCAGATGCGTGCCCGTATTATGGCGTGGTCGGAGTCCAAGCAGGTACTCCAGAATGAGCGACGATCTTCTACCGACCCTCTCCAACGATGACTGATGGAAATATGGTCTATTTGAGTCCATCGTTGGTTTGGTGTAGGGGGTCGCCATGTTAGACGATGTCTCTCCTTATGCTTAAAATTTGTGTTTGCTAAAAATAAACGATTGTGTGAGCACAGTTGCAGCAGACGATCACCATTATCTGTTCGTTGTGCCGGAATACTAAAATACCCACCTAAATGCCTTTCTATTTGGTTTAAACTACCTATCTGGGCATTAAAGTCACCTTGTACGAGTACTATGTCTGAACGTTTAGCTTTCTGAAGAAGTTCAGATAGCTTTCTGTAAAATTCATCTGAGCTGCAGTCGGTGGGAGCGTAAACAGAAACGACAAAAAGGCAACAACGTGTGTCCTTATCCTTCCGAGTTCTTACGGAGCCGTTTAGCCGAACAGCACATAGACGACTATTGACAGGGATCCACTCTAACAGTGCTTGTTCCGCCCTCATGCTTAGTGCTATCCCTACTCCTGCCAGTCCACGAGAGCTGGCCATCGGGTCACCAGATACACGGAGGGTGTATCTCGTTGGCTCTCTGTTTTGCCGAGGTGAGGTCAAGTGAATGACCACACTGGGATCCTGTATGCGTGTTTCGGAGACACAGCATACATCAATGGTACGAGATTCTAGGGTTTTAGCCAAGGAAACCTGCTGACCGATTTGACATAGAGTGCGTACGTTGAAAGCTCCAATGTGTAGTGTGGAGCGAGGTTTCAGTAGACCTGGGACAGTGTTTTGAGCACTAGAATCGTTGGCCATGGTAACACTTGAGGGGGAAGCCGAAAGAGGAAGTTTAGAGGTGAAAGTCGATGTAGGGGGGACAATAAGAATTTAAGAGGGAGGTTGATTATGAATACAGTGGTCTTTAGTGCTGTTAGAGGTATGAGGGCGGTTATCACTTCCCGGTTGCCCGCACCATGGAAGGGTTCTTCTGGAGGTACCTGAAAAGGAAATTGGATTAGAGGTGGTCTTAGTGACCTGAGAGTGTGACCGCAGGGCCTAAGGGACAACTGCTTGAGGTCGGTCACACACGACTTTTTTGTGTTAGCTCCGTACTTCTTAAGACCTTACCACCGGAGACGGATATCTGTGGGATAAGGCGAGCTGTGCATTTTTAGGGTCGACCTTTTCTAACCCCACCCCTCTTTGTGGGAAGGCAGCATCGCTGTCATGCTGGTTATCTGAAGGAAACACCTTGCTGCTGTCATACCTCTGTACAGTCAGCGGTACGACTTCGCCTTCGAACCTTGCGTTTGTGGCTTTTAGTCTTACCGCTCTTCAACCGACCTGTCTGACATGTTAGGACCTTGAGGAACGGTTGTTCTAGCCAGTATAGCTCGGTTGCTTCATCACGATAAGCAAGCCCGACCACCACGTCAAGGTAGCAACAACGGTCGGGCAGAAATATTGGTAACGTGGACACATTCCCATCGCAATATATATTTAGTCTTCTAATGTGCCTTACTTATTCTCAGCGCTTAAGAATAAACAAAACGAGGTACCGTATGCTGATACATATATAAATAATAGTTTTGGAAGCTTAAGGTAGTCGAGAATTATCGAATTTGCGTCCCGGCAGTTTAGTCATTCATTTCTCAGAGATTGAGTTGTAGGCCTTACCAATACATTGATTTGTAGATTATATAATAAAACTTTAAGAAGTTCACGTGATCTGCAATCTAGTAGCGGTAAAGTTTCATATAATTATCACGTATGCAACTAGAAAAACTACTCATGCTTTAAAGCTCATTCTCGCAAATCATGCTCAAAACTATTCGTTTATTTTTATTTTGCACTGCGTCACTTGTCTATTCCTATTTTTCCATTTTGCGTATTCCATCTGGATGCTTGAATGCGCAGGTCAAGGGTCTATGTACAAGGGAGTGTCGTTCAGGTGGCTAATGCAAACTTGTTGGTCACAGACCAGATAACGATGACCGTCTATTGCAACTTTGCGCAGACTACAACCCGTTTCTGGCTAACAATCACTGCCGATGTGCTGCTTAGCGTCCTCCCTCTTCATCTCACCCTGAAATCATATTGTTCACTCTTTCAACTCATTCGAATCACTGGCAGCAAGAAGTCTTGTATGAGTTAAGCAATGTGTTAATCTCATTAGATGTCAATCAATGACGTCTACCGACGTCTTGGACGATGGGCAGAGTTTTTCGAGGAGCATTTCAACTTGTCTGCTGCCCCGGTTACATCGATCAAACTGTCCTGCTCTTCCTGGTCTTTGACGACTGATCCACCTGACGAGGCAGAAGTACGCATGGAATTTCAACTCTTGGAGCGCCACAAATCACCAAACCCAGATGACTTATCTTCGGTCCTTCTTAAAGATGATGGCGACCTGGTTAAGGAAATGGCTTAGTTGTTTACAGACGTCCGGTGGTTAGATAGTGTTCCAACATCGTTGAATGAGCCGATAGTTGTCCGTATCCTTAAAAAAAATTCACGTTACCTATGCAACAACTATCAAGGAATAACTCTGTCTCCGGTTGCATCTGAATTATTGGCTTCAGTCATGTTTTGCAGATTGCTCAAAACTTGGAACCGATTGACTCGCGAGGAGGAGGCTGGTTTTCGTTCTAATCGGGGATTTATTCGTCATATCCTCAACCTCCGTCAAATGTTAGAACCCCTCCATGTTTATTGCATACCAACAATCAATATGTTTCTTAACGTCAGGGTCACCCTCGATTTGCTGAACAGGACTGTTTTCTGGGATCTTCCGTTGAAGGGTGTGTCTGAGAAGTTTATGAACATCGTAAAGGCCTTGTGTACAAACACTTCAGGTAGAGTGAGAGCATACAGCCACCTCTCTCTATCGTTTCATTCAGCTAATGGAATTAGGCAGGGTTGCTCAGTCTCACCTTTCCTCCCCTATTTTACCATTGATGACGTTCTGGAAACAGTTCTGATAGGTGTAGGTAATGGTGGTGTAGATCTTTTACCCGGAGAAAGACTTTTCGGTATGAATTATGCGGATGATATTGTCTTACTGTGCTATAATACCCAAGCCAAGCAATCTGTACTTAATCAGTTGACAATCAATATCCGTAGGTATGGCTGTGCTTTACACCTTCCAAGTGCAAAGTACTTTTACAAGACTGGCAGGACCCTGAATCTTCACTCACTCTTGGTACTGCACAGATAAAAGTAGTCGAGAGATTTGTGTATTTGGGTAGCTGTGTAAGTGCTGGTGGTGACATGAGTGATGAGATCAATTCATGTTTAATCAAAACCAGAGCGACTTATGCCATTCTGGGCCATCTCTTGCGCCTTCATGTTGTTAGTCTGGCCGTAAAAGGTCGGATCTATAATTCGTCGATAAGAGCAGTTTCACTCTATGCTTCCGAAACCTGGCCTCTCCGAAAGTTGAGTATGTTAAGCAACTCTCTGTGTTTGATCATCTTTGTTCCCGGCGGATTGCCGACATTCAGTGACAACACTAAGTGCAGAGGTTTGACAATGTGTGTTAGGGCATAGTAACGATAATTCAATTGGTGTCACCATTTTAGAACACCGATTTTGGTGGCTTGGACATGTACTACGAATGTCCTCCCAGCGAATTCCACATCGTGCATTATTTGCCGACGCTGGGACTGGTTGGAAAAAGCGGAGAGATGGTTAATGCATGACATGGTGTCGTAGTATGCAAGAGAGCTGTGCATGACTGGCTTCTGTTAACCCTTCATTACTCCGTGGTTGGGGTCCTAGAGATTATACATCACCTTGGTTTCAGACGTTGTCAGACATGGTTCAGAATAGAAGCTAATAGAGATCCTTCTGTAACTTTCTTTTACTGTCCTCATAACAGTGAGAGTAACTTTAACTGAAAGAATCCTTTCTGGTTGTATTTTTGTTAACTGAAAAGCTTCCGCCGTTATTATTATTATCTCACTCTCATAAACTATTTTCTATTCATTGTTGTTGTTTTTTATTGTACTCACTTTCCTTTCTCATTCTCTTCACAACCTCATTTTTATTGTTGGTGTATATATATTTTGGTTCCACCTTATATTAATGTTTATGTACTTAAATAATAATGATAATTGGTGTTTTATAGCATAGTGGTATAGTTTAAATTCTTAATCTTTAGTTGAAAACAAATCCAACTGCTTTCAGTCAGTAAAAATCTGCCAGTTGTATGTTGAAAGAGAGCTGAGGGTAGCCAAACCGAAACGTCACGTTAGTACATGAAGGCTTTAACTGTTGGACTAGGTCATTCAAGGAGATTCAGACTCTCAAGCTGAAATCCACATGAGATAAATGGCTGAAACTCGTTTTCGGTGCTACAGATACACTAATTATTTGTCTTTTTCTAGATCTTGAGTTTCAATATTATATCATACTTTTTATTCCTCAATTTTATTTATTTCCCGAGCATGTTCTCCTTGATCGTTTTCACAGTTTTAAACATGTTTATTATTTGGATTCATTGTTATTCTCATCTCGGTCTGCTGAAATGGTATAGCAGCTTAGGCTAATGAACCTTTGTACCAGGACCTACGTTGTTTTAACTGATCGAATTTCAAATTATACCAACTGTTATCCCTGAATATTTCTGTTCAACGAAGAAATGAGTGAATAGATTTTATAGTGTATCACATATAAAATACTCATTCCGTACATTTATTTGACTAATCGTTTAATAAAAATGATATCTTTTTCTTCCTGTCACTAAGGTCCAGACATATAACTCAGTTAGTCAACTATACATGTTAGTTTTAGAACTTCGAACTTACGGTAATCTATAAATTGTATTTTATTAATCAATGGATAAATGCTATTCAGTTAAACTTATTCGAAATCTAATTATTAGTCAGTGTAAGTAAAACCCATAAAAATTAATGTATTGAGATGCAGTTTCCGATCTATTTTTGTCGTATAATGAATTTCCATCTATCCTCTTGGCTTTTTTCTTTTCACCGAGTTATATCATGTATGTTTTATTCACGGTACTGCTGAAATGTTATTATTTTTTTACTTCAGATTCTTTACTACTTCGTAAGTTTATTCATATCGAATGGGTTAACAAAACAAGTTGCAAGCTATGCGAATCTTGGTACTGGAGTTACTATTCTAATTGGTTCATTGGCATCCATATTTATTATCGATCGGAAAGGCAGACGTCCTTTATTAATGTTTGGAATATCAGCTTGCCTTTTTAGCCTCTTACTGTTCACTTTAACTTTGATTATTAAACAAGTGACTGAAATCAATAAACTCACAATTCTATCAATTGTATTGACATATACGTTTTTATTTGGATTTTCAGTGAGTTTAGGTAAGTCAGTAAGCAAGTATTTTGATTTCTGCATAGTTTTCCCATGTATGGTGACAGTATTACTGTGTATACTACTGTTGAAGAAGCAACTTTTCAATTATTGTATTATTTAACGTTGAGGCAGATAGTATCTATATTGAAATTGAGTGTACATTTTGCGTACTTGCATAATTTTTCTTTATTTTATTCATCGGTTACTAGTAAAGCAAATGCATTTTAAGTGAGTTAAGGCAATCGGTAGGAAACTATAGCCTAGTTTTTGCGTTAGTTGGCACTCGTCAGCAAGGCGTAACTGTAATCTTAAGGGTACTGATGCTTCCTATGGAGTTCAAACCTCCGTCACTCAGCACCACATCTTAATATGTTATTACTGAAATGTTCGAGTGGCGACCGACACTTAAAAGGACTACAGTATTTTCAGTTATTCTTCGCTAATTATTAGCCAATATCATGTTTTTTAGTTCTTGATAGACTAGTATTTGTTATAAGTAAAAGTAGTTGATAATAACAGTCAGTTCGCAGATTGAACTACTTCTCAATATTACATCGAATAATGTTCAGGCATCTCAGAACAAATAACTGCATCATTTTGCCCCATCTTTTACACAGTATTAATTTCTCGAAATTTGATAACAAATTAGATAACTGTAAAATATCTGATAAAAATGCTATCAGGATTCAAACTTTATTTTTTAAACTGCTGCGTTGTTTTTCATCTAGTGTTACAGTTTATTATCAAAATATTCTCTTGACTTTTAGGTGACCACTAAATTTCCTCTAGAAAGTCTCTAAACAGATATTGATGTCATTTAACTCTTCGATTTCCTTCCCTTGTGATAGCATCGGAAGCAATTATTGTCTAAACCTGTAGTCTTCGTACATTGTGGTATTTTCCAGTTTTCATGACTACAGCCGGCGATCATCTCGAATCAATTAGATATGCTTGGATCGGTATAATTCAGCTAAAAGTCCCTTTAACTGAATATTCGTAAGCTTAAGAGTACATGAAGTTGCTTCGTAGAGATGGTAGCTTTTTTCATACTCAGATTATTTTCAGCATCGATCTTCCGGGAGTAGTAGCTGAAACTAAGTTTTTGAATCCATTTACATAAAACAGAGTAGCCGATAAGTACATCAAATTATACTTAAAAACAGGATGAATTTTCATCACTATCTTTCTGTGTCCCAGAAAATCACAACTGCGATTCGGTTGAATGGATCCCCTTTCAGCATGAAAAATGATGCTGTCTCAATAAAAACTGAGTGCTCAATCTGTAAAAAGAGGAATACTGCTTACACAGAACCAAATTACTTTGCATTTAAAATCAGTTGAACGACCAAACTCGAGTCTTGTTTAAGTACATCATAAACACAGAATTCATCCATAATATTAATAAATCCCTCAATACTTCTTTCTCATCCACTCTACAGCACAGACGTTGAGAGTCTCGTTGTGCATTAAATGGCTCAGTTTTAGGAGATTAAAATACGCATTTAGTAGTAGGCTTACATTGTTATCTCTAAATGAATATACAGATATTGAATTAAATGTATAAGAATTTGTTGGTAAAAATGAGAGATGAGGTGAAGGGAAATGAATATTGTTCAAAACAGATTGTCGTTGTACTGAAAGTTTGCATAGAGAATCAATACTTTATAAATACTAGTATCATAGAACTATCTATACTCCTAAGGAGACTGAAAAAGAAAATGTATCAACTAATGACGAGAGACTATAACACTCCAGACTCGATCATTTTATTTTTGCAAGTATTTAACAGATTATTATTATTCTCTATGAAAAATTAACACCGACATTGGAAAGTCATTACAAAATGTAAAATTTCCAGCTTTCTGTATGTTCCCAGATAACAGAATAAAGAAGCAATGTTGTTGAGAATCTTGTTTACACTTATCGGTAAAGTTGGTTTTCATTATTGACTCATATTCGAACTAGATGTAGGAGGACATATATTAATAAGTTTTACATGTGTCCCCCTGGTGGGCAACCTATGCTCCTCCACGAAGGGTAACGGGCGTAAGTAAGTAAGTAAACATATGTCTTTACTATTAGAAAATTGTACTAGTTATGAAACTTAGTTTCATACATTTGATTTTATGTTTAGACTATTACCTCTTAGCAATTGATACTGTTTAGAAACAGTACAATATTTCAGATAAAGTTGACTTTAAAAACCACCATTCCTTTTGAATTTCTTAAAAGATTCTTTCGAAAAAAACTATTTTAGGTTCTATTCCATGGTTTTTGGTTTCTGAATTGTTTACGCAAGAAAATCGTGATGCTGCTGTCTCTATTGCTGCAGCAACCAACTGGTTATGCAATGCTATTGTAGCATTAATATTCCCACAGTTGGTTGTAAGTTGAATCAGTCTAATTTCTGTTGTTATTTATGAGTAATGATAACGCTTTGTATACGTAATCTTTTTCTATGTTTATCAGTTGTAGATTTTTTTAATTATTTCGATTTTATTGTTTGTTTGTTTAAAGCATAAGATTAGTATTATATAAGTGTAGAGTAATGTAATGTACCACATAAGATGAAATTCTACATTATGGATGCACAAATAGGATAGGGTTTGAAATAAGAATTATCAGATAGACAGTTGTGATTTCATAACCACACTGGGCATGTAAAGAAAGTTAACCGGAAACTTGTGGCATTATAAGTCTTTTTCAAAATACATGACAGAAATGTTGTCTAACGGTCGTCCGATTCCGTTACTGTTATGCACTCTCTCCATACGGAAGCCTAACTTGGTAGTTGAGTGAACAGACTAAGAATGAATCAGAAGTTGTATTGGGAATCCAAGTGAAAATGCACACAAACTTGATGATATATCAGTATAGGGTTGTGTGGATTATTGAGTTTCACTGAGATCATAAACCGATCGATGTTAGATCACGATTGGAAATCTGGATGCACCGGACAGCTTATTCGTCCTTGTATTGGACTCATTAGCAGTATACATCCATAATTCCGCACGCGGGACTCAAACTCAGGACCTTTGGTTTCGCGCAAACGCTTAACCTTTCGACCGCTGAGCTGACACTCACCGGTATTAATGTCTAAATTCAGTCAATCCATTATATTGCGTGACCATCTTCCATTGTTCTCGATGAGTAACTTCCTCACAACCAAAACGGTTGAACTCCACTGGTTGCGGCTTCTCACTAGAACTCTGAGAATTGCCTCTCGAAGTTAGTGACTAGTAAGCACATCATGATTATCAGTATAGGGTTGTGTATATGTATACATGTATCACTCAGATAATGTAGCCAAAGCCCGGCCAGCAACGTTTATCCATCAACGTCTCTCACCTATTATTTGGCCTTGGACTAGCATGTGCTGCGTCTGTACCTGCCTAGCCTACCATTCCTACATTTTGGAGCTGAGCTACAAAATTTGAGGTGAGAACACATCGCATACCCTGTTGAAAAATATGCCGACAACTATGTTTATAAATAAGTTTTTACAATTATAGTTTGCGTTTTTTAAAGTCTCCCATTAACTCAATGTCCAAATATTATGAAACTTTTAGTTCGAATATATATATCAATGTGGTTTTTAAGAACTTTCGTCGAAATTCGAACTAATAGCTGCATAATATTTGGGCATTGAGTCAATGGAAGATTTTAAAAACGGAAACTATAATTGTAAAAACCTAAGCAGTTGAAGTCGAAATAACCCAAACATTCCGCCCAACAGTTTGGAAAATAATCATACATAAAAGTTATCAAATACAAATATATGGTTCAAAAATTCTACAGCCAGCATTATTAATTTGTGAACCATCTATCTGGGTTCGATCATTTTAATGTATGCTTCGACACACGTATCTGCTACTTTCATAAACCATGTTTTATAGCCATAAAGTAGGATACGGCCAACTGCTGGGAAGTGTACTCATCTTTTGGTTAGCATATGGACACTGCCTACCCCACAATTGACTCCAGTTGTCGAAAGCAAACGGGGATTTCTGAATTCGTGACAAGATTTCTCCAGACACCAACCCATTAGGACTGATGAGACTCCCAAGATAAGTGGAATGACCGACAATAAACTATTTCACTTCCAATCATTAGTTTAAATGCTAACAATGACCAATTCTGAAGAATCATTTTGCATTTAGAAGGAGAAAAACCCTTTCCAACTGTGCTTGCATTGCTGTTTGAGTTTATCAAAATACTTTTGATGTTTTCAATGTTGTAATCCTTATCCAAACTTCAGTTGTAACATAATTCTTATTCAAACAACGAACTAGTTTTAGTTATCGTCTTTCACAGTGTTACTGTTATGATTAGAATTCAAATATATCTTTTCAACGAGAAAATTCATGTCGTTCCATTGATCTAGACTGATAAACTATCGCCCAATCAGATTTTGCTAAACGCTAGAACTTTATCTATCATGCTATTGCGTTCGATTATTTCATATAGTCCGGTTGTAACAATTTTGCAATTATTAGTAAGGTTCAGTCGATGTTACTTACTGGAGTCTATGTAACAACTGATTATTTTGTAGTTTTTTTGCGTACTTTAAAATCATAAGTTTTCTCTGAATATTTGATGGCCAACTGGGCTAAATTCTGTACTATTGTTCGTTGTGAAAATAGTTCACATGTCCTTACACTGTATGGTCTACTTATAAAGGGATTTCGATTTTCGTGAAATTAACAGCATTCAAATTCACCAGTCGAGTTTTAATAAAGTTTGCTATTCCCACGGATTGGTTGATTTCTCTGGAAACATTTCAGATCACAGATTCAAAACTTTGTTTCCCACTTAAGAAAGTTTGGACGACCTAGTACAGCTTTTAGTTTCTACAATAGATGCGCTTAACATCTCATATACATATTGAGTCTCATTTTTCTATTTATTCGTGGAGCCAGTTCATTAAGAAGTTTTGATAAGTAGTCACTATATTAAAGAAAGCTAAGATAAATTCTAACTAGTTCGATGACAGCGATCACGGAATAACGTTTCGTTGTTACAAACCTAACGAGGTTACCTCTATATTTCAATTTACTTGATGCAGTGAGTTGAAAGCACCAAACCAGTTTAAATAACTGTTTTGGACTTAGTTTTCAGCACTCGCTCGATTATTGCCATATGAAATTTAGGTAACAACTGAATTGATTAGTGTTTGTGTGGTATATTTAGCTTTCTGGTTCTAGTTATCGAATGCACATATTCAAGTGATATTTTTTACATTAGGTACCACTGTCAGACCTTGCAAATATCATTTAAATAAGATTTTTATAACGATAACTTTTTACTGAAGCATTGGATTACAAACATAGGGAATCACACTACAAGATATCAAGTTTTCGCTACAGTCGGATATCAGTTAGAGAACCACTGAAAATTAACAACTATTTGCTTCTAATTTCAAACTTTTCAACTGTCTGCAACTACAACACAATAATATAACCAGAACCCCATCACGAACCGACTAAAGTTGGAAATACGGACCACTGGATTCATAGATGTTTAAAAGTGCCACACTCACTACAAGACCAGAATGCCCCAGGTTCTAGCCCATGTAAAGTCGTTATTATACACTTCTAATGAATTACAGACTTCCACAATGCAGTATCTTAGTATCTTTTAGTTCTTAGTAGTCCTCTAATTACTAATATTGAATAACTGTGTGCAACTTATCAGTTACCTGATAATTAATCTGGGCTAGAAACTAAGATCATAAACTGATCAATAGTGTTGCATTTCACCCTGTTTTATCGGATAATGGTAAAAATTTCTTCATTGCTTCACCCAATTCGGTAAGCTTTTCATTAAAGTGTGCTTCTTAATTACCAAACCAAATTTTAACATAATTATTTTTCTTAAAAAGCTACTATAAAGTCCACTTTTTTTATTAACCTGGACTAATACTCCGCTATGGAGGATTTAATTTTGTATTGAAAATTTTCAGGGCTTAATTAAATATTTCTTGACTTATTATCATTATTATTATTATTATTATTATTATTATTATTATTATTATTATTATTATTATTATATTACTATTATTATTGCCTTCCAACATAACACGCAACTAAGCTTCAACTGACTCATGATCTTAACCATTGAAATTACCATAATATCCACAAAACCCATCCGATAAGATTACATTGTTATTTAACGGAATAACCTTTATTCCTAATTAAATTATAAAGAAAGAATCCTGTACACAACAATGACGAGGAAAATGTGAACGGAATTCAATAGTTAATTTAACATTTTTTCAGCATATTTCTGGTGTTTTGTTTTAATTAATAATATTGATCAACTGTCTTATAGTTCAAAGTATCTGTACATACTTTTTTATATCTTAAGACAACAAAGAACACACACATAATAAGAGTAAAGGTAGCTAACACTGTAAATTTCATTATTCACTCATAAACACTAATTATCATCTGTTAATACAAGGTAATGATTTTTCGTTTAGACAAGTAAATAAATCACTTTAAAGTTTTGTGCAGATTACAGAATTTTCTTATTTTTTTAGATCATGAACTAATCTTAGCTAAACTACCAAAAAACACTAAACAACTGTTTCGTTCTAGTATGGGACTCAACGGTGCTTATGCATGACCCTATGTTGATAATAATCATATGTTTACTGGTAAGTAGCTTTAAGATACAACTCCTGGAGTTCTAGTGGGAAACCCTAACCAGTGGAGTTCAACCATGACGGGTGTGAGACAGTTATCTGCCATAAGCAACTCAAGATAATGGCTAATTGTTTGAAGCTAGATATGTAAAGCATTGGATGTTGTATCTGTGTTCTGAAGGTTAAGCGTTAGACGCAAGACTGAAGCTGAGTTTAATTCCTTGTGGTGAGGTTGTGGGTGCACACTTTCGAGGAGTCCCATACTAGGACGAACCAGCTGTCTAGTGCTTCCTGGTTTTCACCAGTGGTCTAGCAAATATTAGTTCATGATTTAAAACCATGAAACATATAAGTGTTAGGACTAATATAGCTGTTGACAGATCAAACAATATTATTATTACTTACTACCAGACGTTATTTACCTAACTTTATTCATAAGCATAATGATAGCATGATGTTATGAAGATATATATATATGTTAAACACTAATAATTAAAAATTAAGGTGCACGCAATGTTCGAGTAGTATGTGCGTCTAGATAGTTATGTTGAATGTTGGTACTATAGAGTGATCTATTTTTGTATAGCAAATAACCATTGCTTATATCAATCTAGGCAACCTTTAGGATGACCAAGATGCTAGATTGATCAGAAATAATTGAATTTACAACGTATCGTTCCCAGTAATTTTGTACTAGGTTTGAAAATATTAGTCTGTTCAAAATAAGAATATTTAGCAACTCTGTATTCCATGGTCATCTCTAAATGATCGCTCTTACCGATGGCCGGTAAAGTATGTTGAGTCATAGTGGAGATGGTAACCCATTATATGTTATCATCTTGAACAGATCAATAAATAAATCAGTATTCAATATTTAAAAGATGATCAAGAGTTAATCCATTTAGGTCACAACCATAGATTGTAGTAGTATGATCGACTCCAAACTAAAAATACCTTATCTCTCTTCACAAGGATCATGTCAACATTTTATGACTTAGTAAATTAATGTCGTATCTTGATTTGACTTGTTCATTTTTTTAATCTGTTTTTATGAAGGTCACTATAATACATCGGCAGATGTTGATTAGTTATATTTCCAACAACTTCAGTCAATGAAGGTTGACTCCTTTGCTAAATGGTTTACCACCTTTTATCCCTAGTACTTAATGCCTAGTATTACTCAAACTTTTCCACTTACTTGTTCTGTAGTACATGAAAAATAGATAAAATGTCAGTAAATCATCACCTTCAGCGACAATCTGTTGAACTTATGTTATGATAGATTGGAGATTTTATATACTAAGCACTCATAATGCTGATACAACCAGTGGTAATCTGGACTAACCCACATCTGCTCTAGGTCCTACGTTGTTTATTTGAATATTTCTATTTGCTAATTTATCTGAAAATGGAATTATGTATTCAATTATATTTTAAGATGTCCGGTCTTCTATTTGTGAAATAAAAAATGAGTAGCTTTTTCAATGTTTTGATCTTATCTATTTAATTTCTTGTGTTTTCCTTTTTTCTTCACAGATCTATATTAATATTTATGCTTTTATACCGTTTATATGTGTATTGTTGGCTGTATTAATATTTGTCGGATTGTATCTACCTGAAACGAAAGGAAAAACGCCAGCTTCCATCGAAGCTTACTTTATGCGTCTTTGTGGTTTCCGTGGGACAGAAGTACATGAAAATCCAACATTTACAGATATAATAGATGATACAAGTAAGTCTATTTAAGCATAATTGTCATCAGTTGTCAGAAAGGCTTGAGTCATGTTTTTGTACTAGTTAGCACATGTTAATAAACAATATTCGCAATATTAAGGAAACTTGTACTCCCCATAGTATTCAGACCCACATTTTCTAATGTCACAATCAGTGACGACATTTAAGTTTGTGCCGATAATGTCGTTCAGAAGAACAATGAAAGCTCCACGACCAAACTATCCAGCTCAGAGAACAAAACTCCACCTGAGTTACAAATCTCCACCATCTCAGTGTCAATACTTGCCCATATATATCAGAGCAATTAGAGTTTTCGTAAATATAAGTGATTTGAGTATTTTAAGAGCATTCTAATGTTTCATTCTACTTATGAATCACACTATATCAATGAAGATTAGTTTCATCCAACAATCTTCGCTTTCCGACAAAATTCACATTGTTACTTCTGCAGTACACATTTATGCAAACTAAGCCACATTGTTCTAGAAATTCTCATTGATATCCATAATTTAGTGTGTTTATTAATTTTTCTAAGTACGTTTATCCAAGATACTTTTATTCTGTTATGCTTTTGAAAAATATGTTCTCAGAGATAGAGCAGCCGTATATGATCAATTTATTCGCGTGTTTATGTTCTAATATAACTGATAGTTATTCTTTAGAGATGATGTATCCTAAATAATGTAAAACTTAATATTCTGGTCTTATTTCATCTGATGCTTTAAATAGCTTTCGTTTGACTTACATTAATTATGCATCGAGCCTACTAGAGATCTAATCCAATTTTCATGCAAATCTGATTGTTCCTACCTACTGAGGTTAAATATTTTAAAATCTCTCCAAAAGACCATGTTATCGTTATTATGCATATAAAACGTATTACCTTTGCGCATCGAATTGCACCGATATTCAAAAAAACTATGAACTTTTTTTCTTTCATATGTCCTCACCTGTTGATTGCTTATCGTATCAGATTATTACGCGTATTCCATGGTCAATGGTCAAAGCACTTTAAAGTTTACCTTTTTTCATGATTTGTACAGTCAAATCTCAAAGAAACCAACATTTCGTTTCCTGATCTAGTCAACAATCTGAAATGTTTTTTCTGTATTATGATAACACAAGTAACGGTCATGGGTTATTTTTTATCAAAATATTACTTTATAGCTCGACGATTTATTATTGTAGAAACACTTAAATTTCATGGTTAATATTACGAACTGATCTTAATTACCTACGTAAAACCAAGAAGCACTTGGCAGTCGTTTCGTCCGTGTATGTAAATCCTCGGGAGTGGGCTTCCACTATCCCCCCAAACACTGAACGCATGATCTTATCCTTCAGACCAGTGATCCAGTAGTTTGATTCATTCGATTCACGATATCGCAGAACCATCTCCCGCTGTCATTGATCAGTAACTGTCTCACACTCAACATAGTTGACCTCCTCTGGTCATGGTGCCCTCAAAATCTCCGGTACGGCCGAGGGGAGGAGATTCCGCTCTCCCTCTCGAAATGCTCTCATATGGCCATGTGTATACAGTCACTACCATGGAAGTCCTACTCAATGCCTTGTGGGTCAGACCTTTAGGTCAAAGGCTCGGGGTGTGGTCACCTAATAAAACCACCTGCTTCGGTCCGGGCACCCGAGCAGTATCACAGCCCACACATAAATATGATGAAATGTCGATATTTATGGAAAATACTTGTCTTGCTTCAATTAACAATCAAACGATTCACATTATTATTACTATTATTATTATTATTTACGTCATTTATTCACTCTTTTTTATTCCCACTCTGTGTATCTTTATTTTTCGACTTATACAGCAGCTCGCCTATGGCGGAAACTCGATTCTACCTAAACGTTCTAGAGTCGCTGTCTGGTTGAAAATTGTACGCTACCACCAAATACGAATACTGAAGCAGTTTTTCTGAAAGCATGTGAACCATCCAAACTAGCTGCCTTCAATTTTCGCACACTTATGCAGGTCAGACAACAGATAAGGCTGGCTATGTCTCTGAAAAGTCTTAATATCGATGTTTGTTGTCTGTCCGAGACCCATATTCAAGACTCTAGCGAAGTACTACAAATTCGCTCTCCATCTGTCGCTTCAAAAAGCTTGTTTTACGTGCGTTTATCCGGGGACCCTGTGGCGTCTTCGTCTGGTTTTGCTGGCATTGGTGTCTCACTAGGCGCCAGAGTTGAGGCAGCACTAATCGATTGGATCCCCATTAACAGTCGGTTATGTGCTGTTAGATTAGAAAGTTCCATCAAAGTAAGAAAAGATGTCTTTTCGTCATCTCCGCCTATGCCATGACAGATTGCAGCCTGGATACAATCAAGGATGAATTCTACTATCAGTTAACTGTTCTTCTCCATAAAGTGCGTTCGACAGACATTGTAGTATTAGCAGGAGACTTGAATGCTCAGGTCGGGCGTCTAGGCACAGAAGAGAGTCGTTTAGGTGGCCGATGGGGACTCGTTGGTCGCAGGTCAGATAACGGGGACCGTCTACTGCAACTGTGCACAGACCACAACCTGTTTCTGGCTAGCACCACCTGGCGTCCTCCCTCTGCATCTCAAGCCTGGACTCAGATTAATCACATCGCGATCAGCTACCGCTGGCGTGGTTGTGTACAAGACTGTCGCTCCTTTTGGAGTACCTATCTGGACTCTGACCATGCTTTGGTCTGCGCCAATCTTACCTTACTTTCCAGTGGACAACGAAGTGACCGCCACCAGCGGATTGATGTTAGCAAGCTGGTTGCAACTTCTGTTGCTAGTAAGTATCGAACCGAGCTAACCCATCGGTCTACTCCGGATGACCGTGAGTTTGACCACAAACGAAGGGTGTTACGTAATGAAATTGGGCAAAGCTTGCGTAAGGACCGAGAAGCCTGGTAGTCGAAGCGTGTTAATGAGTTGGAAGCAGCAGCTGCATCTGGTAATTACCGGAAGCTCTTCCAGCTCATCCGAGCCACTGGCAGCAAGAAGTCTGGTGTGAGCGAAACAATCTGTGAGGATGACGGGATGCCAATCACGATGAGCGGAATTCTTCGAAGGGCAGTTCAACTGGCCTGCTACTCCGGCAACATCGGTCAGACTGTCCTGCCTCCATGGCCGGTGACGGCTGATCCACTAATGAAGTCCTCAAGGAACTTCAACTCTTGAAGCGTTACAAACCACCGGGACCAGGTGAATTACCTCCGGCTCTTTTTAAAGATGGTGGTGACTTTCTGGCTAAGGAACTGATTGTGTTGTTTACAAAGGTCTGAAAACTAGAGAGTTTACCAACGTCATTGAATGAGTCAATAGTTGTCCCTATCTTTAAAAAGGGTTCACGTCGTTCCTGTAACAACTATTGGCTTCCGTTATACTTCGTAAGTTTTTCGAAACCCGAGAAAGATTGACTCGCGAGGAGCAGGCTGGGTTTCGTTCTGGTCGAGGATGTATTGATCATATTTTCACCCTCCGCCAAATGTTAGAACACCGTCATATTCATCACAGACCAACAATCGTAGTGTTTCTTGACATCAGTGCTGCCTTCGATTCATTGGATAGGACTGTTCTCTGGGATTGTCTATTGAAGAAGGGTGTGCCTGAGAAGTTTATTAACATCCTAAAAGCCTTATATACAAACACCTCAGGCAGAGTGAGGGCATACAACCACCTCTCTCCATTGTTCCATTCGAGCAGTGGGGTCAGGCAGGGTTGCCCAATCTCACCATTCCTCTTCAACTTTGCCATCGATGACATTCTGGAAACAGCTCTGATGGATGTAAGTAATGGCGGTGTGGATCTGTTGCCTGGATGAAGACTTCTCGACCTTGAGTATGCGGATGCTATTGTCTTACTGTGCGACAATGCCCAAGCCATGCAATCCGCACTTAATCAGTTGGCAATCAGTGTCCGTAGGTATGGCTGTGCTTTACACCTTCCAAGTGCAAAGTACTTTTACAAGACTGGCAGGATTCTAATCCTGTGCTCACCCTGGATGGTGAGCAGATAGAAGTAGTCGAAAAGTTCGTGTATATAGGTAGCTGAATAAGTGCTGGTGATGGTGTGAGTGATGAGATCAATGCACGTATAGCGAAAGCCAGAGTGGCTTATGCCAATCTGGGCTGGCTGTAAAGGTCGGATCTACAACTCATCAGTAAGAGCAGTTTTGCTCTATGCTTGTGAAACCTGGCCTCTCCGAGTTGAGGATGTTAGACGACTATCTGTGTTCGATCATCGCTGTCTCCGAAGGATTGCTGACATCCAGTGTTAACACCATGTTAGTAATGCAGAGGTTTAGCATCATGTGTTTGGGCGCAGAGACGATAATCCATTTGGTGTCACCATCTTGAAACACCGACCTCGGTGGCTTGGGCAGGTTCTACGAATGTCGTTCCAGAGAACTCCACATCGTGCATTATTTGTCGACGCTGGGACTGGTTGGAAAAAGCGGAGAGGTGGTCAATGTATGACGTGGTGTCTTGGTATAAAAGAAAGCTGTAAAGGGCTGGCTTCTGTTGGTCCTTCACTATTCCCAGGCTTGGGTCCGGGAGATGGTGCAACACAGTGGCTAGAGACGTTATCAGATATGGCCCAGAATAGAAGCCAGTGGCGATCCTGCTGTAACCTTCTTTTTTTCTTCATGGAAAATGGTTGTTTCTTCCTTAACTGAAAGATTTCTTCTGATTGTACCTTTTCGTTTGCCCCATTATTACTATTATTATTTTTATCACTATTACACTACCTTACACTAATCTGTAGTTGTTATTGTTCTTTTTTACGCTCCTTACCTTCGTTTTTTCTCTTCGAATTCTCATTGTTTTGTGTGGCGTATATATATTTGGTGTCCTCTTGTACCAATATTTATGTGTTCAAATAAATAAATAAATTTCTCACTAAAACTATGAGAATTACCTAACAAAATTAGTCACCAGTGAGCACCTGATTATTATTACTATGTAGGGAATTTGTGGAGATTGTTCAGTGTGATAGTTAACATCACTAACTGATTTTAGTTGAACAACTATTTAGATTTCAAGTTATCTGTTTCGTATTCCCAATGAGGTTTATTTACCAGTGGGATAACTAAATATCTAAGTTTGTTTATTCTACACCTTGTATAGTTTTTAGCTTAATGTACAAATATGTCTTGTGGATGTTATTGTTATCATTAATCTGTCCATTCATTTAGATCTCAACCATTGATTCACAACTTCCTACTCTGTGTTCTTCATTCTACTTCAGTTTAGGACAATTACATAGTATTTTTTACTCAGCTAGCTCTCATACAAATCATGTAATCAAAAGCTCTGACTACATGAGGATTGTATTTGGTTATCGTGTACAGTCGTATTACCTTTTTTTTATCAGAGTCTTCAAAAAATAATGATTAATTGAAGTGTGTAATTATTGGATTTAAATGTCACTACTCTGTTGTTATTGATTAAGATCTCATAGTTTTTCAGTAAAATACTTATTGATCCGTGCAATTCTTGTGCTTTTTTATGTATTTTTTTCTCAGCACAAGCTTAGTTTGGTAACGGTGGCACTGATGATTTAGTTCACAATTCACTTTGACAAGAATATTATATATAAATTAATCCTTATTTATATCGTGTACTATTACCACTATAAATTTTATATACCATTATTTTTTTTTGGGATATTATGCCTCTCCTGTATATACATATACAAGATTGCCAAATGTTCTCACACAGTTCTATTTTCTGCATACATTATGTCAGTATGTGTGACTATTCTCTTCTTTTGAATTTTTGTCTAAGTTCATTGATTCATTCTAATATCTTATCGTTATCTATCTAGTTGTTATTTTCTATTTAAGGTTTATCTTATTGTTTAAAACTATTACATTTTGTCTATCTCATTTGTATTCATTGACTTTTCTTCTTGAAATCTTTATAGTTTTCTTGGTGTTTTTTTGTTCCATTTCTCTAATGCCTAAAAAATTTTTTTCATTTACCCTTGGATTTTCTTTTCATGTATAAGATAATATTAAATTTTAATGATATATTAAAATATTACTTATTTTTCTTTATTTTCTTTTGTTCCGATATTAAACATACAACAAGCATATCAATAATATTTCTAATTTTTTTCTTTCTGTGAATTACCAAATCATAGCTGACAACTGTGTTATTTTTCGGGCGCTCGTTTTGTATTCTCTTATTTTCACTGAAATAAAACATACTTTTTCTGTCATCAAAAGTCTGTTGTATTGTTTTAGAATTCAAAGTTGTGAGTATTGAGCTTTCATATATATATATATATATATATATATATATATATATATATATATATATATATATATATATATATTACAGAAAAGAGAGCACATTATTATTTAACTGTTTATACTGAAACCAGTAGTCACTGTTCAATGTCAAATAGTTTTTGAGTATTTTCACTAGATAATATCAATCCATAATGATAAACCATTTTTGAATTATATTAATTTTCACTAATAGTTTATCCAGATTGTAATATTTTACTCTTTAAGGACTAGTTCTAAAATGAATTTCAAAAAGTTCAAATGGAAGTCGACCAAATTAGATGTGGTAAACCAATTATCTACTAATACGGATCATATTTACATAGCAGATTGACAAAAGTTAAGAAATGATATCATGTTCTTCATAAAAATTGAAGGAACTGGGTTCAATGCTTTACAGGTTATTGGGTATACATTACTATGAGGTTCCAAACTACAATGGAATGGCTATCCTGTACTTCATAGTTTTAAAGGTTTGTCCAGTTTAGTGTCGGTCTGATGCTAACTATTCGGGTTCATGAGACGTTATTCCTGGTCTCCCAAAATCGTAATGTAAACTGCATGTTTGAACTTTGTGTTAAATAGAACAGCAGGTTTTCTTAGATAAAACTCTAGAATCTCTTGATATCTAAATAAGGTTTCTCCGAAACATACATATGGGATTTAAGTGTCGTAATTCACTGGATTGTATACCATTAGGTTTAAAAGCAAAACAGACTGGATCCCAATGGACAATCACTTATACACAATCTGAGTAAATGAGGGGTTAAGAACACGGAGATTTAGGGATATACTCAGATAACTTTCTGTTAACTCCCAGGCTCCCACTAACTACTGTTCAAATGAGTCGTATAGTAAGCTTTCTGCTTTCCTAGGAAAGGCAAACCCTCAGATGTAACCGTAGAAGAAGGTTTTACTGCTAAAGTTGATAGTCTAAACCGAAGTGAAAGATTTTAGGTGGCCTTACAGTGTTCCAGCTCAATGAACAGACAACGGCAGCTGTTTGATTCACCGATAATCAGACAACCTTTAATTCTTAACAATCACCAAATTTAAGCCTAAAGAGATCGTCCTACCTGGGGACCCCCACAGTCAACTCAATGTTGGGTGCAAATAGACTGTGTCGTCCTCAGCCGTCGTTGGAGAGGTTAGAAGACTATTGGTCATTCTGAAGCACATTTCTAGACTAATCATGCTCTAGTACAGACACATGTTTCTTACTGGATGCAGAGAAGTCAGCAAGAAAACCTTGAGATTAGCTCAACGATTAGAAAAAATCAAGAGTGTATTTCAGGAACAACTAGAAAAGCAGTTAGTCACCCAAGTTATGTTCAAACCAATGTATGTTGGGATAGCTGCTGGAACAGGAGTGATATCCACCACTTTATAGGTAAACGATGAAGAGCCAGTGGATTTCATCGGCGTCCGTTGGACTGATAGAGACTAGTGAACTCATCCCGACAAACTCAGAATACGATGGGGAGAGAAGGTAACTTAAACGTAAAAGTGACAAATTCTACTCCCAACCCAGGAGATTGAAACTATAAGTGGGAAATTGTGAAGAATAGTTCAACTGCTCTCGAATTAATTCTCAGTTGCGTAATGTTGCCAAACAACCTGAATGGGATATGAATACAGACCCCATAAATCTTGATAAAACTGAAAAAGCCATAGCTAAGCTAAGGCGAGGGAGTGCAGCCAACCTGGTGACCTTTCAGGATTACAGTTCAGTTCTAATTATTAGATTGACTGGAATACTACTTGGAATCTGGGAACTGGACTTGTTTGATGTTTGTCCTGGTCTGTGATGAAGAATAAAAATACTCTTGTGACAGTCACAAAGGAGTACATTTGACTAATATATTATCCGAAATATTAGCCTCAATAATCTTCCGACGCTTAACTAGGGCTCATGAAGGGGAAACCAGGTTAGTTTCTGACTTGAAATTGGATGGGTAGATACTGATAAAGTGCAGAGTATTCTAACAATCTTAAGCAACCACACAACCATGTTTGGAATGAGTTTGTCTCCCTCTAAATGCAAAATGTCGCCTTCGGACTGTTTTACGTCACGACCTGAACAAATGATATGGAGTGAAGCAGTTGAATGTATTGACCTATTCACTTATCTTGAAAGTCTCATCAGCTATAGTGATTTGGCGTCTAATGCAATTTCAGCGTGAACTCAGAAATCTCGGTATGGCCTTCACCAATTTAAATCACGTATACGGTAGGGAACATGTCCATCTGCTAACCAAAAGACAAGTGTACTACTCAGAGATTTCATCCGTTATATTTCATGGTTTGTGGAAATAGGTATTCGCAGGTTACTAGTATCCGATCGTAGATACCTTCGAAGCATTACTTGTATATGTTGAGACCATCGTGAGGTTAGATACAGTGCACTGGGTAAAGACATTGAATCGATTGATGAAGTAGTGAACCTTGACCAGCCGATGTGGTTGGAACATGTATTAAATATCCCCATCCACCGCCTACTTTGATACACATTACTGTCCGATGTGTGGGTAGGTTGCTAGAAAGCTAAGAGCGGACAAACCAAGACCTGGCATCAGTCCAAGAAGTTACTGGCTATTGGACTATTACTTTACTGTTTTGGAATTTACCTTGACCATTTCATCTCACTGTTGATGTAGTGTGACAATTCACAGGTATGCCAGCTTCTGCGTTGTACATGACTTACTTACTGTTAGTCCATAATGAAAAACGTCTTTAAACCAACATTTTCTCCATTATAATCGGATTAAATCAATATATATTCAGAATAAGCTTAATGATTTTCCGGTCGGATAAAACTTAATTAACCTACACTATTGTATAGATTAGAATATGTTGTCAAAGGATTTATTGTACTCTCACATCTTTATTCTAGTCTATCAAATGTACTTAATTTTTAGTGATATCTTTACTTAGTTCCTTTCCATATTCATATGGTGTGTAAAAATGGTTTAGTCTGTTAGCTACCATCAAAATTTCAATGATTTACAAATGACCTACAAAACATGTATCTTACTATCACTTATGTTTTAAATGACTTCAAATCCATATTTAATATGTTACATATATGTGTATCATTTCACTGGAAAAAAGCAACTTTTCACCATATTTATCTTACGATATTCGTTCATCAATTCAATTGAAGCAATTAACTGACATTTGAACTCACGTTGTAGTTAACGAGGACAGCTGTGGGGACAACTGAATGTATTTGAATACAAAATTACAGAATCTCTTAGTAAAATCTGAGAACTATACAGTAAGCACTTCATTTGTAAAATGCCTATCAATTGTCTCAGACTGAATCGTTCTTTCGTTCCCACACTAATCATTTTCTGTTATCGTTCTCTTCTCTTTGCTCTTCTTAACCTTCTGCCACCAGACATTTCGCTTGCAATTGATGATACATGCTACTTATATCTGTCGACATCAGTAGCACGCACCACGTCATCCCAAAGCTCATTCACACATAGATGCATACCATTTTTATTGTCGAGATAAATATATCAAACGAAATTCAAGCGATCTAACGTATTCTTTAATAGTATGAATCTGTCATTTGTTACAATTTTTCAAGTGTATTAATCAAACAGTTCTATGTGCTGTGACATGCACGTTTATGGCTTGTGCTTCGCCAACTTAAACTGAAGTTCTACTTCATAATCATAAACTAGGAGAGAAAAGACGATTGTAAAAGAAAATAACTCGTGTGTATCAAACACATCGTTATTATCTCCAAGTGATCTTGTATAATGCATAGAAAAAAGTTGTCCAGCCACTCATAGTTCGCGACAAGACAGAAAACAAACTGAAAATATCATGATTAATTAACTTAAAATAAGACCTTGATTAGTTTGAGACACAATTTGATAGCCTGTCTCTTCTTTGACTCAAATTTACTCCCAATAATGAAAGTATTCTGCCATTATTTATACAAAGGTTCAGGTTTGTCAGTGTTTGATGCCAACAAGTAACAAAGACAGAATAGCCAAAAGTGAAATGAATATTGGGAAAGCATCAGTAAGACCAGACAACATGCCAGCTGAAGCATTGAAGCCGGACACAGACATATATACGGAAATAGTCCACACACTATTTAGAAAGATTTGGCGGCAATAACAGAGACTAGAAAAAAAGATACTTTAGGTGGGGTTTTGTTCTCCGAGCTAGATGATTTTGTCACGGATCATACTTTGGTCTTCTGAACAACATCTCACTTCTATATGAAGTTTGTGCTGGTGATTTTTAGAAAGACAATGAAAGCTCTACTACCAAACCACCCAGTTTAGAGAACAAGTTTCCACCTAAATTAACCATCTGAGCTACAAATCTCCATTAGATGGATACTTTATCAGGATACCGAA